TTGGAGCGGGATGCTCTGTCGTTACAAGTATTGCGCTTGGTGACAATGTAACAATTTTTACAAGTATTTTAGTAATGAGAATGCTCTATTTCCCATAGACGGTGCTAGATTGATGTGTTCTAGAAAGTTAACAGCGGTAGAGTAATGTTTTATTGTCTTAGCGTTGCACAAGAATTTAATACACTCTCAGATAAAAAAAAAACCAGTAATGACACCAGAAATTTTTAAGTGAAAAACCTGTAAAGGGAAAAAATTACGGGGTCTTAGGATCATTACAAGGACCCTTTGTCCCACAAATGAAAAAATGTTATTAGGTTTTCCAAGTTCCGACGTCGATTGACGGCTTCCGGTCGGTGGTGGTTGACGGTGATTGGTGGTGAGCCACGGTGGTCAGCGGTCGATGGCGGTCGATGTCGGTCAGCGACAGTCGACGGCGATTTGCTGTGGTTGACTGTGACAAGGGTGGTGCTGAACTTCAGTTCCTTCCCAAACATTTGAGTTCTTTCTCAAGCCTCCAGACCCCCCTTATGAGAGGGTGGGATTTTTTTTATAGTGATTTGAGTGCAACGAGTGCAGTAATATGCATCACTTTGATCGGACTGTCCAAAGTACTTCTTTTGATCAGACGGCGTTTCATGGACATTTGAGTGCCTGAACAATGTTTGAATTCTTATTAGATTCGTCTTGTCGAGACGCTCGATTCAACATCCGTTTAACATTCTAAATATGCCCAAAAAACTTCCAAAAGTTGTTTAGTGACTTGATCTGAGCTTGATTTGACTCGGATTAGATTAATTTTGATAACATTGGGTTGTTCTTTTCTAGCCGGTCAGTTTGATTATAAGTTTTCTGAAATTGGAGTTTTTGATGAGTTTTTATCGAGGTTTGAATATTTCTTATTCGAAAAGTCGCATTGAAATCTATATCATGCCTCGAGATTCATGCCGAATGATAGAGATTTGTTGTAGATATATCACATATGTAATAATATTTTCTAAAATAAAGATTTATAAAAAAAGGAAAAAAAGTGAAAAAAAGAAGAGAGAAATAGTAAGAAAGGAAAAGAAAAGAAGTGAGGAAAAAAAAAACAAAACAAAAGGTTGTATGTGGATTTAGTTGCCACTTATATATTGTGTAACGAGCAAAATTAAAAAACAAGTTTATCTTCACAATATTTAAGAACCATCATTATGAGTCATTTTGACACGGAGAGAAATTCTATTGCTTGCAAAATTTTTGTCCAGGTAACCGTATATGCATCATTCTTGATGTGGTGAAAGGGCAGACTCATACATGACTTGTTTGGAGTGATGGTTGTAGACGATTCTATAGCAAAACGTAAGCAGAAATAAACATCTTTATTGATGCAGAAGGGGAATCTGCTTGTGAACTTTTATGCTGATATATTCAGTGGGTGTAGAAGACCCTTACTTTCATATCTTATACATTATTTTTCTCTTTTTTGCGCTTTGTGGGTAGACTTAGCATTCAGGAAGGCGTGCCCTATGTGAAGGAGTCAAGATGCTACATATTTTTCAATAACCAAACTTGAATAAATCAAACTTCAAAGAATTTTTTTTTTATTATTTATAACATGATTAAAAATAATGCCACTGAATAATTAAAATGAAATATTTGTTATGCCAAAAGAATTGAAAGAGACAAAGCTAAGCAAATTATGCTTATAGGGGCCAGTAAATTTGATAACTAACGACTATAATTAAGATTTATAGATCCTCATAGAATCCTCCTAAACACTTAGAAGTTGGAACCATCTAGAGCGCACTAGATGAATTAAAAATTGGAATAAAATCATCTAAAGAGGGTACCTATTTATGGAAAAAAAAGGAAGAACCCATGTGCGGCCTACTCTAACAAAATCAAGGTTCAAATATAAATTAATTTTCATGTTTTAATACTTAATAAGTATTAAAGCTCCTAATGATCGCAATAAGATTTGCAAGCTAACACATGCAAGTGGATAAAATGTGATCAATGGTGGCCTCTAAATGCATAGTTGTGTGCATGAATTGATGAATGACCACCATAGTTGACCTTCAGAGCTTTCAAGCGATTGCGCGTTCACATGAATGATATTTAGTAAAAGTTAAAGTGGTTTTATCTATTGTGTGTCATGAATTGTATGAATTATCTTATGTGGCACACACATCAATCACTAAATATAGCTTGTGAACTGCTTGTGCGATAGTGCGTTCCCATGAACTATAATATATTTTCAAGAAATGAAAAATCTTTCAAATAAAATAAGTTCATTGTTATTTCACGGGTCGCACAATCATTCTAATCAGGCTTGCATGACTAGTCGAGACCAATGCATCAAGCATTCAAAATTAATGTGTGAGGATGTGGCAAGGATTAAAATGATATGAATATAATCTATCCCGCTCAAAATAAATAAAAAAAGAAAAACATGCGATTAGCCTGAGGATTGAAGTTTATTTAAAAGATTATGTATAATGTTATGATCAACAAGGTATGTAGTGCGATGAAATTTTTTAAAATATATTCAAGTCATATATAGTTCATCGACTCGAACCTCTTTAAGCAAGCAAACATAGTTAATAAAGTCTAAATTAATAAAATGATGTTATTCAAACATCTCAATAACGGCCATATTGAAAGTGAATTTTAATCAAATGGTTTATTTCATAAATAAATGATTTAAATAGTTAAGATCATGAAATTTAAAATCTTTAAGTAAAATTTTGTCATCTAAAGCTTAAAATGAAATTCATCCATTTCCACATTAATTTGCTGAAGGTAACATATTTAATATAAATTTAAGTTCACAAACACTTAAAGTCATAGTAAGTATATATTTATGATTACCCTCAAAAGATTTCGTGCCAATAATGATGTGAACCGGGTTTTTTATCTGTATATTTTTGCCTTAAAATGCAACCATAAAAATAAGAAGTTATAATTAGAGTCATCTGATTTTGTGGTTCACCAAAAAATAACACCATTATATTACGATTGCGATTGTAGCATTTATATTTTTCAATGTTTCTACTCTTTTTAGTTTTGAATCATATAATACATTTGATAAGTTATATAGCTCTATATTAGTTAGGGTTAACTTATATTTATCGTCTTAGATAAATATCAATCATAGGTTTACAAAGTTCTCTTGTATAATATGATTTATAGATGAGGTTTAAAATATTTCGATTAGGTTAGTTCTACTGTATTCTCTAATTAATTTGATTTTGGATCATGACAATTCAAACTGGCGGAATCATAAAATCTTGAACGGGTTCGTCATCATTCCGTTAACCATCTATTTTAAGCTATGATGATAAATTTTTATTTAATATTAAATTTAATTATTGTTATTATAAACAACTAGTGTCCTAACTACTAGCTTTATTTGAAAGTATGCTCTCATTATTATGAGAGATAATTAAATATAGGGGTTTATGTCTATGAGAAACGTAAAACCATATCAAAGAGTACTCGCAAAATGAGAAAAATATTTAGTTACCATGTTTATCTAAAGTCTAATTTGCTTTCTGGAAATTTGACCCAATTCATAATAGAGGTTCCCTCGTGCGACAGGTTGGGCACAACTTTTTGGAGCTCGCATAAATGAATATAAATCAAATAAAAATAAAATTGAAAGAAAATTAATGTTAATATATTGTGAATAAAATGGTTATACTTTTTAGGTTGAATTGAATTTTGAAAATAATGACAAGCATGATGTGATAATTGAATATTAATTACAATGATTATTCTAAAATTAAAATTGCGTCACATCTCAAGCAGATTGGATGCGTTACATATAATTTGGAAATTTTGAATGGGAAGGCTAGAGAGTTGTGACCTAATAAAGAGTAATAAATATAATTATATGTTTGAATGAAAGTAAATGTATAGGTTTTTCAGAAGTCTCTGCAAATGTTGTAAGATATTGGTTTTGGGAAGGTTAAATTTAAGATATATGATTTTAAGGGTGGATAGATAAAATGTATTTAAAAGTTTGTGAATGAAAAAAGTTGACAAAAAACAACGTTGACTTTGCATCGTGCAATAACTTGCATAAAATACAATTAACACCTAAAATAACACGCAATAGAATTACATGGAGGAGGACGACTGGAAAAGTTGATCCCAAATAATTCCAATAAGACTAATAATGATAATGATCACTGAATGCTAATACAAATAACCTTTTAAAACATTTGATGTCTTCGTGTTTCAGAACATCTGAAAGGAATATTTGATATGTAATCTGTGACCTATTTAGAAGCATCCATTTGGTAAACTTGAAGGAACTTACGCATATATCTAACTCAAAATCTGTTTAAAATAAATAAAGCATTCACTCGCTAGGTGGAATGGATGACTGTTTTTTAACGTTTAATCACTTTAAATTCTATGTCAGATTTGTATATTTCTAGATCAGTAATTGTAAAGCTATCGTTCATTTCATCTTTATTTTCACATGTTGTGAAAAAAAAAGATTCACATTCTTGGTGGTGCATCTACTTGATATTTATTCTAATATTTTTAGCTGACTTAACTGTCTAATCTAGCTATTCTTCATCCAATTGGCTGTAGTCTGTATTTGATTCATCTAATGGTGGGCGAATAAACACATTCTTTTGCTTTAATAGTATATATATCGTAATTGACACTTCTGCTTTCTTTTGCTAGCAGTTTGCCTTCTAACAATGTCCAATGCATGTTAGTACTGTTCACAGTTGATAATCATTTTACTTTTTTATGTTTATTGATTTCACAATCCATGCATTATAGCATGGCCTCTTTTTTTTTTCATTCTTTGTATTTGATTCATCTAAGAATTTAGGCCATAAAACGTCTATAAATACCTTTCAATGCAACATTCTTCAATATAAGACAAGATAACTGTTACTTTCTCTACTTTCCTATATATGGTTTTATTATTATTATTTTATTTAAGGGCTTCCCCTTTCTAATGGCTGTTAATGTTGTTTCTCCCACATTATTTCCAGGATGAGTCTATGTTAATCTGGTTTGCGGGAAAACAGCAGAAAACACTTTTGTTAAGCATTGTTTCAAAAATTGTTCCCGGGCAACGTACTGTAAGTATTTCCTTTATGAAAGTGCTTTCATTTCTAAATTTTCCAGCTGCAATTAAAATATTCACTTCCAATGTAAAGCACTAATTTTGGCCTCATAAATTTTCAGAGGTGCATCTTTCTTCAGCCTGTTTTTAATTGTCGCGGTGTTTGTATTAATTTAGTGTAGTCTTGGGTAGTGCATAATTTTTCTCGGCTCTCCAGCCTCAATTGAGTTATCTTTGCCAATTGGTCGGCCCCCCACATTGACCTAAGATGGTCTAATCAACATAGTGCATTCCTGGTTGATTTTCCGAACTCGTTTGGTCTCAGTTGACCTATCCTGATTGTCGTGACCTGTCCCGGGGACTTACATTTACCAACTTGGGAATAGACAGTCGGATGTTAAAAATAAAATTAATTTCAAACTCCATCATTAACAATTAATATTTCAAATAAATTGAAAGAGCTACTAACGATATCTAATTTGTTCATCTGAAAATTAAAAATCATGAATAAAATTATATTTCTCCAATTTGGTTGTGTTTTCTATAAACATTATCACATTTATTGCTCATTTTCTATTTTAAAACTTAAGCTTTAAAATTGTTAGTTAAATTATTGTGAGCTATCAATTAGCTAATTAATACTCATAATTCTAAATTATAATAACGTAAAGAAAAAAATAATATGCATTCTAGTTAAACATAAATAAATCAATTTGAAAATAATTGATAATTTATTATTCAATTATAATCAATTAAGAATGCTTAGAACATTCTATCACATAGTACAATATTTTATCTTATCTATATTTTATACATCTATTACATGAGTACAATCTAAATTTTGTACAAATTAAAGTACATTAATATCAATACTATTTTTTCAATTTACGTGCATGCATGATTTAGCGTCCCCAACTAGTAACATAAGAGAGTGAATTACATCTAACAACATTCATGCACATGCATATTATGTTGATCATTTCATTAATATTTTTCATGCCATATAATATATTTCTATATTAATCCTTACTTGCATATTATATATATATATATATATATTTGACGACATGATCTGGCATGAAGGAGCGCTCTGGCGACGAGAATGGTTACCCGAACTAGGGCTTCGACTTCGGCTGTTTTTGGTGAGATCTCTCCGTTTATTCTTCTGTTTGGACCGATTGTGTGGTTGTTTTCCTCTTTCACGCCACTCAACGACGCGAGTCTCGTACACCGCTCACCCTCAGTCATCTCCTCCATTCGAACAACTCTCGCGTACGAATCAGTTATCTCGGTCGATTACTAAAGCCAGACAAATTGGTCCTTCAGTTTCTCCTCTGTTTCACTCATCTGCTTTAGTCGCACGTTTGGTTATATGGCTTCTGTTTCTCCTCAACCATCAGTTGCTTCAATTTTAAAACTTGGGAAGGCTTCTTATGTTGATATGGTTGGCTCTGTGGGATCAGTGGATAATCAGGTCTTCCCTCAGGTTTATCATGAATCATTTGAAGGCCAGGGGGACTGTAACCTCATCAAGAAAGCGAGTAGGAAGAGTGACTGTCGGCACTATTTTTGGTGTGGAGTTTGCCCGTAAGAAG